GCCATTGTTAAGCAAAGGGTGTAGTCTACGTATAGCGAACGCTTCTTTAAACAATAGGATAGACCAGTTTCGGGAGCTGTCAATAATGTTAGTACTAGAAAATATTAAACCTAATTTATTACTTACATACATTACAGACGACATTATCATTTTCAAGTATACCCTGTAATCGTAAAACATATTGGAATGCCTCACAGTTTTTAACATGATCAAATATAACACTATCAGATCGTGAAGAATGTTCTTTAAGTCTAGTTATTAAGCACCTATCTGTCTTACCAATATAATCTCTATTGCAGCCTGGACATTTAAAATGATAGACAACAGAACTTCTGTACTCCTTAGGGGTTTGATCCTTAGTAGATATAAAATGAGAAACATTTTTATACTGCCATAAAGTTATGAATTTTACCTCTTTAATTAAGTGTTTCTTTACCTTATTTAAACATCTACGTAAAATGAACTCACCTGGTTTTCCATATACATGAATATGATATTACTTTATTATATTATTAATTAATTTTAGGCAATATACGGTATGTTATAGTTCTTTTTTATGGAGAATTATCATATAGGCCTAACAATGTACAAGACACTGTCATTTGTGTGAACACAACATCTGCGCATGGTTGTGCCTTACCTATCTATAAATTAATATTATTAAGATGTTTTACAGAATCGGAATCATCCTTATAATTGCCGTTTTGATGAGCAGTTTTTCTGTCGCTTCAGGTAACTTAGGAGCTTTCGATTGCACGACGACGGTAGGACGGAGAACGTAATGACGTCACTAAAAGTCGTCTGCGCATGCGAGAACGTTAAGATCACCTCGTCGAGTAGATTCTGGAACGCAATTTAGCCAAATCTATGTGACGCCAGGTAGGACGGTCACGCATGAGTGATTCCGTTCTAGCGTCACGTCGTCACACAATCGAAAGCTCCCTATTTATGCTTATTTTGCAATTACTTCAGCAAAACAATTGCTTCAGCAAAAACATTCCTGATGATGACATAATTAATGTCGAAATATTGAATCCCAACACGATGGCGTGTATTTCAATACTTGGAGTATGTATTATACTTTCTAAAACAATGCTGTTTTGTGTATCAAATCCATAATAAAGCCTGGTTTCCGTAAAAGTTGCTCAATGTTTTCACTGTAATCGATGCGCATGCGCTGTGTAAGGCTGATCCAGAGCAACCATCCAAAAGCTGTTATCAACAGCATGTAGCGATTTTATGGAAACCTCACTTAACACTGTTATAATATACGTAGTTAAGAACGTCCCGTGTTGTTCACAATCCAAACATTTTCTATGTGACTGTGCAAAATAATATCACCCCAGCATATTCGACAGGTACATTAATGTCACCATTAGCACTGACTGGACCTGTTTTGAGATACCTAAATTCTATACCGTAAAAAGCTGTGTTTTGGTTTTTCTTTTTTGTAACTGCAATGTAATACACTGTTAAACTTTTTGCCTCTATCCAATTTCCCAGAAGCCGCCAAAAGCAAAGAAAATATAAATGTCCTTGCTAGAAATGACAAACATTACAATGTTTCTCTTTAACATGTTGGTCGGATAATAATGTAGTTTTATATAGCGCACATGTCCATCAAACATATGGGCGCTTAGCTTAATATGTGGACTAGGAACTTGACCAAAGACTTTCTTCGCCCCTACTAAGCGCCCCTTCGTGTCTGTGCTTCTTCATTGTTTTGTTAGGCTTTTATATGTACAGACAGTAAGTTAAAACACTGTTTTATTGCTTTATAAAACAAGATAAGAATGTTATTGTCTACACAGTTCTTCTTAAGTTTTCTTAGAAAATACAACTTTGCTTAGTTTCCTTTTGTAAGTAATCTTGTTTTGTTTACCCCATATAAGCTTATTATCAACAACAGTGCCTGGTATATATCATAAGCACTGTTTGCTTTGCCAAAATCAGATAATTTCTTCAGTTGTTAGCGTTCAATATAAGATGATTGAGCTGGCACCATTCAAGAAATATTTTAACTTCATTAAAATAATATAGTTTCATTGTTGTCAATAAATCCACTACTTACAGTATCATCTGCGTATTTTATAATTTTACAGTGAGGATCCAAGATCTTAAAACAACTTGAATATAAAACGGAGACAAAACACATCCTTACTAAACACCAATACTTAAGCTACTAACTGTTGACGTTATATAATTACATTTAACTCGCTGTGGTCAAGAAATTAAATACATGACAAAATTCTAGAAACGAAATCAAGCTCAAATTAGTCTTTTAGTAATATGTGTGGAACAATTATAGTGTTGAACACTTGAAAAATCTATAAAAACTGACCTTACGAAAGCTCTTTGCAGATGTTTATACACATTATTTAGAAATACAAAAGGCATCAGTTCCTCGGTTATTACAGTATGCAAATTAATTATTATAGCACATCCTCGTGGATCACAGTGGCCATGCCGCTTTTGTTATTCCTTGGCTATTTTTTGATCTTCAAACACAAATGTTTTAAAATCATTTTATTATGTCGGAAGTCAATCAAGGATTTTCAATTTTTTTTTCATCCAACGTTTAATATATGCTCATAATGCCGGTGCGAAAAAATATACGGTATACAATTAAGCATAATATCGGCCTTACTAATAATTTTTATTTGAATCAACATCACAATTATCACAACTGAATATATAGCAAATGATAACAGTTAATTTGTCACAAGAAATTATTTCAGCACATGTCATTGCAATTATTATACTTTAAAATTTATATTTATTTGTCTTTATTTCATAAGTTGTAACTTTTATTGATCAATAGTATTTTTATAACACATCATCTGATTGGACGAACACAATGTGAAGAGTAGTGTCTGTTATACATTACAGTACACAAGGCCAGAGCTAGGGGTGGGTATGGGGGGGGGTGTCCCCTCCTCCCAAAATGAGATTTAAAAAAAAATTGGGACTTCAAAATGGCCGAAAATGGCTGGGGTGGGAAAACTAGGCTATTATTTTTTTTTGGTCCGACTGCCCGGCGAGCTTTGGCCGATGGGGGTGGGGGGGGCTTGACCAGACCGATCGTTGGGGGGGGGCTCGAGTTGA